TTTGGCAGGGATATTCATTGAAAAATTTGACGTAAATAAGTACGCCAAAGTCTTGAAGCTGTTGATGCAGCCGGCTGGTAGATTACCAAACCACCGTTGGGCAATGCCCTCCAGGGTCCGGGAAGCATCGACACTAGACGGCATCGCCCAACCCCTGTAGGTACATGAGGTTAGGGTAGGCCATTAGGTGGTCTTCTGGGTTGGAGGTACCATCATAGGACCCTACCAACACGTTTTTAACCTTAGCCGGCTGTGCCGCCTGGGTTATCTCAGGGGAGAACGTTGTGGGCTGTTCTCCCAAATTTAGCAGGCGTTGCCGCCAGTCCATGAGCTGGTACGGCTACTGCACATGCCTGCCAAAGGGGCCCGCTTGGGTAAAAGGGCCCCACCCAGCCCATTTGGCGAACCAAATAGACCAGTTTGGATCACTTGGGGTCCAGACCGGGCAGATGGTTCGCCCGTCTGACTCCCTAGGTTTGTTCCCGTGCGCCTGTTAGAGGTGTCATGGAAACTGTCCGGGAAGGTCGACGTTGAAGCCGACGCAGACGCCTGACTTCTCTTTTCCTGGAGGAACGTCCGGGCATCAGAGAAAGTCTTCTTAGTACCATCCGGCTGTAAGTGCCGGACGGGTTTTCTGAATTCCGCTTGAGGGAAGCGGAGCCTGTTTTGATCGAACCTAAGGCCCTCCCCCTCCTTCGGCTTTGGGTGAGGGGTAAGGACCCGGTCTTTGATCGTCTTCTTCCCGGAGGAAGGCTTCTTGGCCGGCTGACTCTTCTTGGGAGTAGCTGACCGAATAAGGTTCTGGATCTCGCCCTTGAAACTATTCATGAAGGTCATGAGTTTGTTCCTAGTGACGGGAGCAGAGCCTTCTGCCGCCTGGGCAGCTCCAACCGGGTTGCCGGCTGGGTTGCTTGGAGCAACTTGGTTATCTCGTTCCTTTTTATCCCTGGAACGGGTGTGCTTTGTTCGGAAGGACCCGTCTGGGGTCACATAGGTGTTGACTTCATAGTCATCACCACTTTCATGGTCCGTCTGGACCTCAGGCTCGGCCGACGGCCGCTTGTCCTGATCCGGTGGTATAGGATTAGAAGCCATCTCAGAAGTACTCTCCCCACAGACGGCGCCAAATGTTGCGGGGTTTTTTGATGTGTCCTGCGGGAGAGTTACAATTACGAGAATGCCCTTCACCTCCTGTACCTGCAAAAACACGAAGTCTCCGGTTGGTTGGAGCTCCGCCTCCGACGATCAAGTCAGTTACGTACAGGAGGAAAAGAGTGCGTAAATAGTGAAATTACTTCTCACGTAATGGGAGAATTCCGCAATTAATATTGCTCGGGTTTGGTGTAAGTAGTTAAGGGTGTATTGAATATCTTGTATTGAATTCAATGGAATTGAATGAATGCCCATTAATGAGGATCTCTCCACTATTTATAGTGGGGAGCCTTGGTTCCCCATTTAGGGTTCATGGGACACGTGTCAGCAGGGGATTGGAGCCCTGCTGACCAATGGCTGGGTGCCATGTGTCGCTTAGCCGTAGGGCCACGTGGCTGGGGTATTTTTACCCCAAACAATAACCTTTATTATACTAATACCATAACTTTCTTTTCAAAAGTCTCCCTAAAGAAAAGGTGGATCATGTTATGGTCTACAAAATACAGACCAGAGTAAATTTTTATTGTACAAGAAATATGTGGCAATAATTTTAAAAAAAAAAGTATGGCATTAAACCTATTTATTTTTTTATTTTTTATTGCTAATACACAGTTTTGGGCGACAAATGTAAATATCTTGTTGCACAAAATAGCATACATGGGCAACAACTTCTACTATCGTGGCCCAAGCTACCACCATGGGCAACAAAATAAGTCGACGCACAAATAATGGCATGGGCAACGAACTATTTGGTCGTCGCCAATAATAGTATGGGCGTCGAGGATAAGGCGACGACCCCACGACGAGTTGGTATTCGTTGCACAAAGGTTTGGGCAACGATTTATACCCTTGGGCGATGAAATTTTCCGTTACTCAAAGCGTTTTTCCTCGTAGTGAAAATGGGTCCGAGTTCAACTATGAATTTTAAATAAGATGCTTATTTATAATTTTTAATATTTTTTGCCTATGCTAAACTATGATTAAAGGTGGGCACCATGCCGAGCCGTGCCGCCGCGCGCCGTATCTGGCGGGCCACCGTGCCAAAGGTTGCGTGTCGTGCCGTGCTGGCCAAAATCGCAGGCCAGCCCACGACACGACCCACGTACCGAGCGGGCTCGTGCCGGGGCGTGCTGGCTTGCCGCGGGCCACCCCCTTTGCTTTTTTTTTTTTTTAATGTTTATACTATATAAATAAATAAATATATATAAATATATAAATATATATATTTATATTTATATAATATACATATATATAGGGAGTGCCTGGCGGGCCTGGCACGCGGGCTGGCACGGCGGGCCAAGGGGCGGGCTCGTGTCGTGCCGTGCCGAAAAGTGCAGCTCCTGTTCGTGGCACGGCCCACGGCACGCCGACGTGCCACCGTGCTGTGCCGGGCCACCACCCGGGCCGTGCTATGACCCGTCGAGAAGCGTGTCGTGTCGGGTGGCTCGCATGCCAGCCCGGCCCGTGCCCAGCTCTAACTATGATAATGTATTGCAAATTGTAAGCATCCTTCGATTTTTTGGATTTTATTGATTTGTAATTGTTAATGGTGTTCTGCATTTGTTTTCTTTTAATTGATTTTAATTTTGATGTAATGAGTTTTTTTTTTTTTTTTTTTTTTTTTTTTTTTTTTTTTTTTTTTTAGACATGGATTTAATAAATCCGGATACCCTATGACCCGACCTGAGAAAATCGGGTACCCGATATCTTGGTACCCGGTTTTCCCAGGTCGGGTCATGGGCTGGGTTTTAAACTACTCGAAGAACCGGGTGCCCGCTTTTTCGGGTACCCGATTCGGGTACCCGGATCTGAGCACCGCTACCGGCAATCCCCGAAACCTCCTCACCTAACACCGATGGGGTTTGCCGATGGTGGGTTGTAGGGCTGCCGACGATTCTGTTGGTGGCTTGGCTAGGGTTTAGAGTTTTTTTTTATCTTTTTTTTAATTATCTTTTTCTAAAAAAACGAATAAATAAGTGACATGTATACATGGCGGGCCCCACTAACGGATTCTATCCAAGTATCCGTAAAGTGGTGGTGAAACCCAATTTTTGGGGTTTTTTTGTGGTGTTATAGTAAACATTTTTTTTTTGTGGTGTTATAATCTAGTTTGTGATATTTGTGTGCTGTTATTTTGCAAAAAATCTTGGGAATAATTGAAGAGATAGAGAGAGAAAGTGTTGGAAATTAATGTCAAAAGTACAAAAAAAAAAGAAATTGACAACTCATCAAAAAGAGGGTAATAATGTCAAAAAGTACAACCTTTAAATAAAAACAGACATTATATTTTAATTTACCCAAAAAGAAAAATAGGTATTATATTATGAGACGGAGGAAATACATATGCATAACATAGAATATAATGACACAAGTGAATAAATTATTGATTCATATCTCAAATTATAGAGAATCAATTCAAGAAAAGAAAGTATCATAATTTATTGATATATTTCCTTATTATTTCAAATAAATGAATGTTATTATGCCTTTTATAGTAGAAAATAGAATGTGATTATCTTCTTTTAGTATAAAAGGGTGTCCTCTCCAACAATCCAATACAAACATATCAAATCACAAAGATTAATAGGAAATCCAGAGAATAATAGCAAGCCATATAATAAGAGTATAAGTGAAATATGGAGATGAAGAAGGTGATTAGTGTTCTAATGTTGATGGCTATTATGGTGGTTGCAACTAAAACTCAACCCATCTCAGCAGCCCGACATGATCCCTTTATCCCCTTACCCTCAAACAACCTCTTTCAATCAGTTACTCCGAATGTTGTTGGCCTCCAATGCGAAGATGTTGGCCAACCATGTGATCTACTGAACCAATGTTGTGAACCTTATTTTTGCAAATTAGATACGGAAGCTGACGGCATATGTACTCCTCGACCCTCAATATGAACATAAGTTAAGTAAGAGATAATGTAGTTCTTAAATGACATTAGAATAAAAATTTTCCCCTTTGATTGGTTATAAAAATAGGTGATGATTAGATTTAATTATTGTTATTCTCAGATTGATTCTTTAACAAATTATTTTTATTATTGTGGTCTTATATAGTGGAGTACTACTTTATTTACTCGTTGTTTATCTTCTATCATTATTTTACGTTTTTGATTTAATTGACATCCTTTTTTCAAATACTAATGATGCATTAATCAATACTCCTTAAATGAAATTAGTGCACCACTATTATTTTATGATTAACTTTAAAACTATTGTTGACACCGAAATTTTATTAATTATTAGATGTCAGATATATATTTTATATAAAGAGAGTTGTTTTTAAAGTTTAATTAGACTCAGATGGATTAAGTCAAAATGACCCATCTCCTCCCTACTACCAAACATTGTAGGTACAAGTATGGATTAAGCTGACAAGACCCCATACTACAAACAAATATCAAAACCCTAGCCTTTTGGAGAGAGGAATCAAGAGATTTACGAGAGTTGTAACTCATAAATTATCAATGAAATAATTGTCCCCGTATTTTTTTCTACGTCTTTAATTATATATTGCAGGTTTGAAATTTTATGGTTTACAAATTGGCACGCTCGGTGGGACAATTTTCGCTCTTCATCTCCGATCTCCAAGTTTCAAAATCCGTGGAATCAATGGAGGCATCACAAATTTGTTTTCAAACTGTATAAGAAAAGTTTCGAGACCAAGTTGCATCCGATGTCAAATCTCCACAACAGGTCTCGAGGGGGCATTTGTTGACACCGAAATTTTGTTAATTATTAGGTGTCAGATATATATAAATAAGGAGATAATATATCAAAAAATATAAGATATTTATCTTCAAGATCTCGTAGAATATTTGATAGCTATCTTGTTTACTACTCAACGACATTTTATATAAATAGAGTCGTTTCTAGGGTTTAATTAGACTCATGGAATAAGTCAAAAAGACCCCATCTCCTCTTACTACCAAACATTGTAGGTACATGTATGGATTAAGCCGACAAGACCCGTACTACAAACAAATATCAAAATCCTAGCCCTTTGGAGAGAGGAATCAAGAGATATACGAGAGTTGTAAATCATAAATTATCAATGAAATAATTGTCCCCGTATATTTTTCTACCTCTTTAATTATATATTGCAGGTATGAATTTTTATGGTAGAAGATATATATTCCACAAAATATTTTGAAAAGTAAAATATCTCATCAATACCTCATTTGAAACAAAGTTCTAGAAAAGTAGTTGTAAATTAACAAGAAACTTAAAATTTAGTCTCATCCTTCACAAAAAAAATAAATAAAAATAACATCCATTGTTAAACCAAACTCAACACATAACATATCCAAATTCCTAAACAAATATGCATCAACCAAGAAACAACCTTAAACAAACACATCTATCATATCATATGAAACCCAACAATTACCATAATAATAAACCCAACAAAACCAATCTTATTATTATTATTATGAGTTGCACCACTTTTCTTGTCAATGTCTGGTGCAGCTGTATCATCACCAGATTGTTGATCATCACCAGGAGCAGGTGGACTTTCCACGTCCAAAACCTTGACAATCATCTTCTGTCCTCTCTGGCAGTGTCCGGCCACGCCGCTCAAGAAGTAGAATAACCCCGGCCTGTCTAACATGAAGGTAGTGTCGCCGGTGTTGGCGAAGAATAGAGGCTGAGATGATCCACATTTGCTGTACTCCGCATCCGATACCACCATCACTGAGTCTTTCTTGTACTTGAAGTCTGCCAATATACAAAAATTGGTTACTAATGTGCTTACGTATGTACACTCTATATATAAAGCAAAATGGTTTATAAAATTGAAAACTATGGTAACACAAATAGCAATTACTTACACCATTTTATTATATGGAGTAATTAGAATAAGACAAACAAAATGCACTACTACAAATTTTTTATAGATTGGTTTTTCTTAAGTACCAATTTTAGATCAAACATTCTTAATGGTCTGTCAAAATTAATTAGTACTTATAAGATATATTTTGTACATTAAAAATAAATAAATAAATAAAAGTGAGACACAAAATTTTGTATTGTTATTGTAGAAGAGATAACTATACTAACAATTACAATTTTACAACAAATTTAAAAGATTAATTCTATGAGTACGACGAAAGTAGTCATACAATATCATACTTTGTATATATATAAAATTAACATTATATTATATGTTTACCTCAAACATGTAACATTACTCACTAGTCATACGAACTACTATCAAACTAAAACTTACGGTACTCAATAGAAATTTTGCTACGATATTTCATTTTTTTAGATTTATCTTGTTTGATTTTCAGTTATAAAATGACTTAAATTAACATGATTAACTCTATATAATCAAGATAAAAACAAGCAGTTAATTTCACTACTTTTGATATTAAATCAACATACTCCGTACTAATTTACCACTAACATTAGCACATAAAATTAACAAATCATTCTATAAATATGAAATGAAAAATACTAAGGAAAATATTACATACATAAAAGATGCATAGTATGTATGTCGTTATATCCATTCAAATTTAGTTGTCACATTAAAAGTTCAAATTACACTAATGCGCGACAATTAAAGTGCAACGATACTTACGTAGAGTGTCATTGACCTTGAACCGATTCTTTTGAGCCCAATCATTGTAAACTTGAGGGCCTTTCAAAGGAGGAACTTCCCATCCTTTGGTTAAACTTTCACCAACTTCAAATTCAGTACAAACTCCATGCAAAATTAAGAGGGAGAAAATGCATAGAAAAAGGAGAGAGAATTTGGTAGAACTTCCCATTTTCTTAATTAGGTTTTTTTTTTTTTTTTTTGCTATGTTGAAATTGACTGTGTATGAAAGGGGTAACGTTGAGGTATATATGAAAGAGTTTGAAGAGTTTGTTGGGGATTATTAGGAGAAAATTTTGGGTTATGCTGTTAACCGACTCACCAAACATGCATGATTATCATTGAATAAGTATTCACTTAAACGGTTATTATTTTACCTTAATTTTGAATTTGGTTTTTGAATTATGGGCTGAAAATTTAGTGAATATTCTAGTGTGCTTAAAGTTGAAAATTAAAGTGAATATTTTTAGGTTATTTTTTTTATTGACAAACAATTTTAGGTCAAATTCGTGCATATGCATGTGTGTCAAATAAATTGTTATGAGTATATGAACAGAGTTTAAGCCGAGTAAATTAAAGTTAATATTTTAGTTCAAATGGATGAAGTTGAATATATAAAATGTTGATGCTAACTCTATTATTTTTTTAAATGTAACAATTTGACTTTTGCACTATGTATGTAATATTTTAACTTAAATTTATACTAATAAGTACATGTTATTACTCATATGTATTATATTGTTGTCTTTTGGATAAATAATAAAATTGTATATCAGTCTTTTATCAAAGGTTAAAATTATGTCTTACTTAATATGCCGGACAAATTCTTTCAATTCTTTTTGTTGGTCACATGTAAAGAGGGAGGACAATTTTGTTGCTCATCACCTCGCTTCCTTTTGTAACTGAGCAAGTGTGAGTTAACCAATTATCCCACGGAAATCACTCCTTATGTACTCTTGGATACTTTGTCTCTAAATTAATATAATTTGCTTGTCGCTCTTTCCTTTAAAAAAAAAAAAAGAGGAAAAATGCCGGTCAAATTGTAGTAAAAGATAAGGATGGATGAAAAATTTATAGCAAGTGGGTTGATGAAATGAGAAAGAATTAAATTTAGATTAATATTTTCATTTTAGGAAATGACGCACTTATCTTAAAACCAGTGGAATAAAATAAGTCAATTAAAAATGGAGTGAATGAATAGTGTACATTATAAAGTGTTCAACAAGCATTGGTACCACACTCCTTTTCTATCTCTCCATTACCAAGTGTTCTTAATCTCAGCTACATTAGTTTTTCTAGGCAGAACCTTAGCTAGCTTATGCAACTGCAAGCCTTCCCTCCTTTGAACTAGCTGACGACTTCTTTAATGCTTTGTGTTGCATAGAAGGAACGAAAACCGTAACACAACCCAAATTTATCCAATTAATTCAATTAAGCCGGTTTACCCAAATTTTGCCAAAATTATTTTGCAAGTGCCAGACATAAAAGCATACACAAGGCAAGATCATAACGTCACAAATTAAAGTACTTGATCAAAATTACAAGGCCTTAAAATTTTAAGTTTTTGTTTTGGGCGATAAACTATTACTCACTCCGCTCAGGACTATAGGGTTTCTTTTCAGATGAGATGTCAGGCGCAGCGGTACACATTCTGATCAATACTTTTACGAGAGTATAAGTTTTTTACAATCTGAGAGAGAGTGAAAAGAGCTGAGGAGATTCAAGTAACATAAATTTTGATTGTTGTGATAAACATACAAGATACAACAATAGGTTCTCAAAAACCACTGATCATTGTCAAAGCTCAGTTTTGTATATGGAGAAACAAAGAGCAGAATCAAAGAGCAAGATAAAGCATACAATTTGATCAATAAGTCAAAGCTCGGTTGTGTATATTTATATACTGCATCCCTAGGCATATGTCAGCATGCTTATATTAAAATGCCTTCTTCTCATAAGACACTAGGCCATGGACCCCACCTTCAGCTTGTGCTGCACCAGTTCGAGCCTATAAGAGGACCATTCAAACACTTTTAGAACTTTTAGAGCACATCTCTCTGAAGTATTAAAGACTACACATAAGATTAGTGGTAAATCAAATGAAGCCATACCTCCAGTCTTAATACTTCTGATCTCAATAGATCATGGGCTGACTGAAGTGAGGAGGCACCAAGATCCTGGAAACCTTGTTTAACTGCATGCATTGCATATGGAACAAACTTTAGAACAGAACCCTTGTCTGCAACAGCTCCAACAACACCTTGCGCAATTTTAAGCTTAGACTTGTCCCCAAGATATCGCTGATCACTTCCTTTTGTCATTGCTTCCAAAGAGCCCATTCCTCGATATTTCTTAAGACGACGACCATCCTAACACAAAATATCACCTCCAATTAAGCAAATACGAAATACTGAATTTCTTGAGCTTAAGTTTAACTAGAGGGAAGGCTGCACTCCAAGTCTCCAACTACAATTAATCAATCATAGTGCAGGAATTTACTGACAATACATGAAATGCCTAGAGTAAAGAAATCAATGTTTCAGAATATTTAAGTATCCAGCAGCACATACCTGAACTACATAAGCACCAGGAGCCTCATTGCTACCAGCAAGATAGCTTCCCATCATCACAGTAGAAGCCCCAAGAACCAACGCTTTAACAATGTGTCCGGAGTTTGATATGCCCCCATCAGCAATGACAGGGACACCACTTTGTGAAGCAATAGATGAAACTTTGTATACAGCAGTAGCCTAGTATCCAAGGAATATTTTGTTAGCAATCTAGTTTGCTAATCACCAAAAGTACAAAATAAAGGAAAAGAGGACCCAGCAAAGCAACATTAAGAATCTCAAGACTCAAAATCATGTAAGCACTTATTAGAGCTTAGACAAAGAAATTGAACAGAAAATGAAAAATCATGTAGCTTTATTATTAGACAACAGAGTGTTGATTTAAACAACTGCCTCATGAGGTTAATCTTCATTTCTACCTTAAGCGAATATGAAACAAGTGACAATGGAATTTTTTAATGATGATAACCTCTAATATGAGTACATTTATTGATAATTATCACTTCCGCTATAATGTTACATTCCTTCATACACTGAGAAAAATCATGGTTATATCCCTCCCTAATCAAAGGATTCAAAATAAATGAATGCAATAAGAAAATACAACATCAACAATAACAAAGCCTTATTCCCAAAATGATTTGGGGTTGGCAAACATATGAAAAGTCATAAGGAACTGTCCTCAAAAAATGTAAGAATGCAATAAGGAAAAAAAATGTAACATTATGATAACTGAAGCTGCTATAACATTTACTTATACACATTTTAGATTTGACATTTCATATATATATCTAATCACTAACAAGCATGATAATAAAAATAGGTTTTCAAATAACAAAGGCATTAAAAAAAAAAAAAAAAAAAAAACTAGTTTAGAACGGGCTATGGAGTTACCTGTCCTCTACCCACAGCACAGACCTCCTGAGTGGTACAAATTGACCCAGATCCCATACCAACTCTCAGCCCATCAACTCCGGCTTGAATCAAGTTTTGAGCTTGGTATTTAGTCACTACATTCCCTCCAATGACATCCAATTCTGGGTATGTCTTTTTTATATACTTAATCATATCCAACTGATAAGTAGAATTCCCTTGAGAACTATCCAACACCACTGCATCAACACCGCCCTTGACCAAATATTCCAACCTCTCTTTATCTGATTCTCTGGTCCCTATTGCAGCTCCCACCAAGAAATCCCCATTAGGTGTCAACGACGGCAAACCTCTCTTTGGAAATTCTTGAATCCTCTCTATATCCTCCAATGCCACCAAATCGACAACTTCCCCATCACTCTCTCTCACAGTTGGCACCAATTTAACCCCTTTCTCTCCCAAAAACCCAGCAATTTGGTCCAACTGATAGCTACTTGGCACAGAAAAATCCAATTTCGACATATAATCACAAACTTTACCATCCTTATTCTTCAAGTCTACCCAATCAGACTTCAGTACATACCCCAAAACCCTTGATTTCCTGCTCCCCGTCTCAGTAACCAAAATCAGACTCGCGTAACCAAAATCACCCTCCGACTCAATCACATCCGAGGGAGACTTAACCTCAAAATCAGAAACAAAAGGGATACGACGGGACTTGGCAGACTGAAGAAGAGCAAATTGCTCAGAGGGGGTATTGTTGGAATGTAAGATACCAATCCCACCAAGGGACGCCATAGCTACCGCCATGTAAGACTCAGTGACAGTGTCCATAGGAGAGGAGACACAAGGGATAGATAGAGAAATGTTTCTGGTAAGCTTGGTATGAAGCTGAACCGAATCCGTTGCGAAATCAATATAATGAGGGAGAAAGATAACATCATCATAGGTATATGAATACCCCTGATTAAAAAGTTTCTCTGCTGAGAAACCATCTTCAATAATTAGGTTTTGGGGTGCTTCCATTGCTTCAAAATCAGAAAACAATGGTTCAGGGTTTTAAGGTAGGTAAATTATCAACAAGAATTGGAACAAATTAGTTACTAACAACGTAAACAAAAAAAATGCACAAAAAATTACACCCAGATTCCACTTTTATATCAGATTTTCAAGCAAATTTGCTGTTAAAATTCTTAAAAACATAAATCAACAAAAACCCAGATGAAAACTTAAACACCCAATCATCTATTAGTGAGAATTAACACTCCTGTCAATTAAAAATTATCACCCACTAAGCAGAAATTGGAATAAACAATAGTATAAAAAACAGAAAAAATTGATTTCATTTCTTTTAACGTTTGTAGATTCATTCGTATTAATCAATAAACTTATAACTGATTGACAGTAAGCTTATTATGAGTAGTATGGTTTGATAATTTCAAAAGGTAGCCATTTTTTTCAATCAAAAAAGAAGTAATTGAGATTGAAAGAAGAAGTAGAATATGATAAGATGAACATATACCCGAAAAAGTAGCCGGAGTTTGAAGAAGTCGCCGCCGATTTTATACTGTGGTTTGTAAATTCAGGCGACTGCTTGTGGCACGATTATACGAGTAAATACTTGTCAATAAGTCTGATTCACAAAAATCGCCAATCAGGGGGTAAATTGGTAAAGTTGGTATTTTACTTTGGGGCAAATCTGTAATTGACCATGTCCTTGTCATTGACTGTCCTTACTCCAGACGTTACCTTGAGAAAACGTTTTCCCCGCTTAGTTTCCGTTAGTAGCATGCCTTCGAAAACCCCCTATCTACAGAAATTACAGTGGCGATTGTTAATTCGGAGGGCGATTTCAGGCAATTGCAATTTGATTCGGAGGCTTTGCGGATAGCCTCACAAGAGAAATTCAAAGGTGTCGATGGTGTTTAGTTTCTAGGCGGAGAATTGAATTGGCAGCGTTGGCAGAATTGAATTGATAGGCCGTTTGATTGTCGTCCATCTGATAGGTAAGTACTCTTTTTTGAATTTCAGTTCAATTTTTTTCGTTGTGAAGAACTAGCTAATATGATGATTGTTTTCCAAATACTATGTTAATTTTTACGCAATAGGACTGTTGATTGCAATGTCTAGTTTGATAATTATATTTCCTAAATGCTCTGATATTTTCGCATGTCATTACTTTTAGTGTTTATGTATAATATTTGTTCTTGATGGATGTTGTTACTGTTGATATAATCTAATTTGTAGTATTTTCAAATTGGACAATTGACATGTTGTATTCAGCTTATTATCACACAACTTAATATCATTGATTTTATTCCTATGTTGTTGTTGTATTACAATGAATATATGCTTGGTCTGTCCTTCTATATTGAAATCCATGTATGGTATGTTCAGGTATTTCCCGCACACAATGCAACATAGGAAACAAGTATTCCCAGCATTGTTCAAGGTAATGTTTTAGGTTTACTGCTTATGGGTGGTCCTTAACGAGGGATTGTTATTTGTTAACCATTCTTTGTTTGTTCACGAATATACAGGACTACAGTTTAAGTGTTGGCGGCCAAGTGAAAGAAAAGGGTGAAGTGCTAAAGGAATATTTTAAGGCTAGGTGTAAGGTATGTAATGGATACTGGGAAATTTTGGTATTGATCTACATGCATGATTATTGACTTGGTGTTGTTATGTTTTTTAGCCACCAAATATGAACTACCATGTTGAGAGCTTTGCTAGGATTTGCCAAACCTTTGATCCAGGCGAAGACGATGGGTTGTAGAAATGGGATTTGGTGGTTTATTACATTTGTCCAGTGATTTGCACCTCCCACGTCAGCTAGGGTATTGGTTAATTACTCAGATAGATCCTTATAGTAAGATGATAAATACCCCAGATGGACGGTGTATTAGGCTATCGAAGAATCAAGTTCACTGGGTTCTTGGCATCCCTAATGGTTCAAAGGTAGTTCCCACTTATAAGACCTTAAATGAGTTAGAATGTGATAAAGTTAACAGAATATTGTCAAAGTATGGGAAACCCCAGAAGAGGGGCTGCAGTAAAGGTGCAGGAGTATATCATTGCGCTGGTATTCCAATGTATCCCGAGTTGATGGAGAGGCTTGAGTCATATTGGGAGGAACATGAGGAAGAACAATTCAAAACTCTATTCTTGTTGCTTGCGTTGGAAATGTTGTTGTGTCCAACTTTGTCCCCTGTTCTTGCCTCTGACTTGGTGCCTGCTGACATGTGCAATGAATGCTGCCCAATACGATCAGTGCACGCTGGTTCTTTCGAAGCTTCTTGGTAGCATACGTTCATTTGGTAGGAGATTTTATGCGGATGGTTATGCTGCAGGCTGCATTTTATTTGCCATGGTAAAGTTAATATTATTAATTGTTGATTTTAGAACTTATTGCTGTGTTTGTTTTGACTCCTTTCATTGTGATAGATTTTATACTTGGATCGTCTTGATAGAGAGGCTTTGGATTGAGTTGCTTTCCCTAGAGTGAAAGTATGGACCATGAAAGAAATAGGGAGTGCAAGTAAGGAAGATAGAGCTCCGGATGGTGGTGATTTTGGTTTTTTAGGGGTAGGATTATATTTTTTATGTGACTATGTTTCCAGGTGGTTGTGTATAATTTTGTTTGAATTTGTTGTTCTAATTTCCATGTTTCCAGATTTTGGATGTAGCATATGGCGAGAGTCATCCCAGGCAGGCTAGAGATACAAGTGGACCTTGTATTGAAATGAAGGTATGCTTTAGATGAATTTGATTATAAATTTTAAACCCGTAATACTCATGATTAATTGGGTGATTTGAATCAGTTGTATATTCTGGAATGGTAGGTTGAGTTGGGAGATGATGATGAGATACTGCCTTTTTCAACCACTAGAAGAAGAAGGCGTGGGGCGACAGCTTCATCATTCCACAAGGGTCAAGTTTCTAGGGTGGCCAGTAGTGGTCCTGTTCATGATGGTAAATGTGTTACTCCCCAACCGTTGTTTGATATCAAGAAATTTGGGTTTGTTGGTGAACAAAGTTGCAGGTAAATGACATTTGTGCTTTATATCGGTGGTGGGGGTATGGCACTAATTGAGCTTTGTCTGTTAATGCATTGAATTTTGGCTGTGCTGGATGATTTCCCCTGATGCCCTATCCATGCTTTTTAGAATGCATGCATTGGTAACGTGTTTTGGAACTATTGTATCTAATATTTCAAGGTATTTTTATGTCATTTACATCCTTTTTTTTTTTTTTTATCTAATTCTTACATGTGCAGGTTGCAAGGAGGGATACCGGTTCCTATGCTGCCCTATCCATGGGATCTGTAGATATGGTGAGTCTGCTGTCCGGGTTTGTGGGTTGTTGGATAAGATTTTTTCGAGTTATTTATGTCATGTTGTTGTACTTGTTTAATTTTAGATTGAGGTAATTCCTATTGGTGGAGAGTTTCAGAGCAACAGTCGATTGGTGTCAAAATTCAGTGACAATCCCACATGCCGTGTGTTGAAATGACTACCTTAATATTTTGATGATTGACTTACATAAAACAAACTCTGACTAATGATGTTTATGAGTCTTGGTTGAACAGAAAGATTCAGGTACACAAATACATGTTCCGGAGTAGGAACAACAGAGTTTGGAAGACTTGATGATGAATGCAAGCTTTCAAGATGTCCTCACAACTCTATATACTTAGTTACTCAGTGTACGAGCTTAAGAAACAAAAGTGTTGGAAGGAATGGAAGGAATTAAGAAGAAACTCGAAGTTCCTGAAGGAACCTGTAGTTCCCGAAGGAACTTGACGATTGACTCAGAAAGTTTTAAACGAAAGTTTTAAAACAGTTTTCATATCCCTTAATTTAAGTAAGTGATAAAAATCAGTTTTGAAAAAGATTTAAAAAGATTTTATAAATAAATAAATAATTCATTAATTTAAAAAGATAAGTTTTAAATTAATTAATTATTTATCTTTTAATTAATAAATAAATAATTATCTTTTTTATTAAATAATTATCTTTTTGAATAACTGATTTTTTTGACTTGGTAAATACTGGCTCCTAGTATTAAGGAGAACGTTGAACTTGGGAGTCAAGCTAAGGAAATCATGTTCCTAAATTTCCTCTGCCTACATCCCAACTTCTCAGCCAAAGAGAACGTGGGATTAAGGGGGAAGTGGGAACTTGATGGAAGCTTGGTTTAACTCCTTATAAAAACAGATCAACGTTAAGTTTTGAAAGCGTGGAAAAACAATCTTAAGCATTCTGAGCATAGAGTTTCAAAGTGTTTAAAAGAGAAGTTCCTTCCATCCTTAGTCTCTTAAGTTCTTTAGGAAATACTTGTAATCATTGTGTAATTGGGTTTGGGTTGTGAGAGTTGTAAAGTGTGAGACTTGAGAGAGTTGTTTACACTGTACAAGTGATTCGGAGTAGAATCACAAAGTGTGAGAAACTGTGATTGAGGGATCACAGTTGGGTAACTTGAGTTCCTCACGGAACTTGAGTCTAGGCAACGTATTAGTGATTGTAAATCATTTTACATAGTGAATTTATTCATTGCCTATCTCAGTGTCTTTTCTCTTAGTAGTAGATTTAATTCCGCAAAATTTACCATAGTCTACATACACTACAATTCACCCCCCCTCTTGTAGTATACATTGTTCTATCAATTGGTATCAGAGCAAGGAACTCGGAAAAGCAGGAAGCCTTGTCGAGTCAAGTTCCTGGAGGAACAATGTCGAAGGACGAGAGACTAGCTGAAGGTTATTCTACACAAAGACCTCCACTCTTCAATGGGAAGTACTACGCCTATTGGAAGACGAGGATGGAGATGTTCATACAGTCCGAGAATTATCAAGTCTGGCGAGCTATCAAGGTAGGAGATTACGAGGTAACAAAGACCAATGCAGAAAACGAGGTAATTCCTAAACCTATTTCTGAATACGATAGAAGCGACTTTGAGAAGAAAGAGATTAATGCTACTGCTAAAAAACTCCTAGTTTGGGGTTTAGGGCCAGATGAACACACTCGTGTTATGGGATGTAAAACAGCAAAAGAAATATGGGATTTACTAGAAATAACCCACGAAGGAACTCATGAAGTTAAACGTTCTAAAATTGATATACTGCTTTCTAAATATGAACGTTTTGAAATGGGTTCAAAAGAAACTATTCAAGAAATGTTTACTCGTTTTAAAAATATTACTAATGAATTAGTTTCTCTTGGTAGAGTTATTCCTATGGATGAACAGGTACGCAAAATTCTAAGGAGTCTTCCTGAAGATGAACGGTGGAGATCCAAAGTGGCAGCTTTGCAGGAATAAAAGGACTTTACAACTTTCAACCTTGAACAACTTGCAGGTTCCTTAATAACTCATGAGCTTCACCTATCAAACAAAAGCCAAGAAAGTTCAAAGAGCCGAGGAATTGCTCTAAAGGTTGTCCAACCAAGTGAAGAGGATTCCGAATCTGGAGAGGAAGAAGCTGCCATGCTAGTCAGGAAGCTAAAAAAGTTGTACCGCAACAAAAGGTTTGGTGACCAAAAGAAAAGGAACTTCAAGAAAAACCAATATTCCAAGGAAACTGGAGGATGCCACAAATGTGGGAACACAGATCACTTCATCAAGGAATGCCCTCTCTGGGAATCAGAAAAAGGAAAAGGCAAAATGAAGGAACACGGAAAATCTAATACTCCAAACTTTTT